GTTTAGGTCCCAAAGAGCTAAATGAAAACCTGATCACTCTCCACAAGCAGATGTCAGAGGCATGGAATGTCCAGTCTTTCTTAAGTAAAAGGTAAAGGAAACCACAAGTTGGGCAGCTAGGTGGCTGAATGGATAGAACACCGGCCCTGGAGTCAAGAGGACCTGAGTTCAAATCTGACCTCAGGCACTTACTAGCTGTGTGATCCTGGGCAGGTCATTTATCCTTTGTCTGCCTCAGTTTCTTCATCTGTAAAATGAGCTTGAGAAGGAAATGGCAAACCACTCTAGTATCTTTGCCAAGAAAATTCCAAATGAAGTTGTGAAGAGTCAGATATGACTAATTAACTAAACAACAACAAAAAAAGCAGTCACAGATTGCTTGCATGCATTTATGAAGTATAAAGTTCCTTTTAAAAACACACTCAATAGAACCAAAATCTTGGGTGAGGGAAGATCCATCAACCATATGACTGTCTCAGGATACAAGCTGACCCTTGTAATCCAGCAAAGGCTGCTGAATAAATGGCTGATCTGACTTCAGTGCAGCCAAACTCTAGGGACAAGACACTACACAATGAAGTTTTGGCACTACATCTCAGCTTTGCAGCCACAACAAATCACAGAGGCCATGATGTGTGGGGCAGCCTACCTTATGGCCCTACATAATGAGAAAGCAAATGGGAATATGAAGATAATTTTTGCCTGTGTGGTACTACAGGATTTGATTCCATTATTCATGGAACAGCAGTGCTGAAAGGTACTGTGGAGATTATCTAGTCTAAACCTCTCAATTTTATAGATGAGGACACTGAGGATGAGAGATAAAATGACTTGTTCAAAGTTAGCCAGTTAGTGAAAATGGGCCTAGAACTCAGGCTGTGACTCCTAAGGCAATAAACAATCTTTCCAGTAGATCATCTTGTGTGCCAAGCATTTGCCCCACTCTTGGATTTCAACTGACAAACTAAAACATTAGAAATTTAGAGTGGGCCTTATGTATCTAGAACAAAGTCATACTTCACTTTTCTCTACTAACAAGTCATTTAATATAACATGTCATTTGGGGCAGCTAGGTGGCACAATGGATAGAGTGCCAAGTCTGTAGTCAGGAAGACTCATTTCCCTGACTGACAATCTAGCCTCAGACACTTATTAATTGTGTGACCCTGAGCAAGTCACTTAATCCTGTTTGCCTCAGTTTCCTCATCTGTAAAATGAGCTGGAGAAGGGAATGGCAAACCACTTCAGTATCTCTGCCAAGAAAACCCCAAATGGGATCACAAAGAGTCAGACATGACTGAAACAACTAAACAACAACAAAACTGGCATTTAGAAAAAGCCACCAAATTGGAAAAAAATTTCCAAAAATAAAGGCCATGGAAATTTCAGGGTGGGAGAGAATATTACCTATAGCATGAAGTGTTTCTGAAGTTACCTGTACACTGAATCTAAAATCTACAACCCATACTCATTTGTTCTATCTCCCCATGGTTTATTTACTCTCCCATCTTGTGCCCTACCATATTACATTCTGGAATATTAGCATTAACTTCATGTAATATACGTTTTCTCCCAAATGTCCCCAGGTCTCTCTGCTCTATCCTTTCTCCAAAGTTTAACCTTCAACAATGTGAAGCCAGCCTTTCGGCAAACTGAATATGCAAGACAAAAACTCTATTCATACATATTCTAATGATCTGAGAATGAATTGTGCTTCTTAGATCAGTGCAAATCTGAACTTAAATAATTTAAATTAACCATGATAAATGCATAAACTACATACCAAGGGCAGGAGTAGTCTCCTTAGTAAGTACTACTTTAAATAGTCTGTTAAAAATGCCTGTGTGTAGCATTATACACACTCGTCCTTACTACCTCTTCAATGATCCCCGTTGCTCTTTTGCCACATCTTAAGTAGAAACATTTCCTGGACTGGACATTCCAGCCACTTCGGAGTAGTTCCAGCTGCTAAACTTCATCACATAAATGTCTCTTCAGCCCGTCAACCCCAAAATAGCCATGTAGCTGAGAGCTATGACAGAAGAAGCTCATAACAAGTTGGTTTTTGCTGCTGGTCTGGACTGGGCTTCATTGGGATTGGAAATTTTCGGTGTGATTGACCCTGTGCCAAAGCAGATGGGCTACTATCCTAGAACCTATAGCTCTAAGGTGTTGTTTGGGGACACTGAGAGGTTAAGAGACATGCCAAGTATCACACGGTCAGTAAGTTTTAGAGATGACGCTTGAAGACAGGTCTTCTTCACCCTGAGGCTGGTTCTCCATCCGCTCTTCTAGCCTGTCTCTCATATTAAGAACACAGGGACTTAAAATAAAAAGTGTGCCAATAGGCAACATGGAGCTGAGTCCAATTTTCAAGTATGTTTACATCCATAATTGCATAAACTCTTGCATCTAAGTTAATGAACTGGCCAGCTCTTGCTAGGAAATTAGATTTGAACTGTTCTAATCCTAACTTTGGCCTATGGTGTCCTATCATGGTTTCTTACAGAGGCTAATGGAATGAACAGTTTTTGGTAGAGAAGGACACTGCAACTTTTTACGCTCTAAAAAGATTATTCATAATGTCGATTATAATTATTTGTTACAAAATATAGGAGTTCTGGTGTGCATGCATATACACACGTCAGAGAACGGGGCTGGGAGAATAGGTAGATGAACAAGAGAGGGAACCTCTGATTTCCTAGAGAAATAATGGTCAGTTGTTTATTCACACTGATACAAGGGGGGGGGGAACTTCGGATACATCTGAAGACAATTTATGGTATGGAGAAGAATGTCATCTGCCTTTTTACATTTTAAGTTTGGAGTACTCTGGGTAATTTCTGCATATGCGAAACTTGTAACAAATGTATATATGTAGTAAATATTACAAATGCTACCCAACTATGTCCCCTCTCCAGATAGCACTGTCTTTCCCTAATAAGTAAGCTGTAAGGATCAGGGGGAGAAAGCTCTCTAGTTATCTGAGTGTTATCTGAGTGAGTTATCTGAGTCACTGAGGATTATTGATTTAGAACTGGAAGGGCCTTTATAAGTCATCTAGTCCAAGACCCTTCAATTTACAGGGGAGGAAATTGAGGCCTGGGGAAATTAAGTAATTTGCCCAAGGTCACCTATGCATAAGATCTTCAGCTTAAAACAATGTTTCCTATCACCCATTCTGTAGAACACAAAGCCTGAGGTGCAAAAAAACTGTGTGTTCAGGAATTGCTATCCATGTAGCACTTGCGTGTTCCCTCCACAGACATTTCTATTCTCATTAAGTAAAGATCATCGTTACTTCACCAACAAGTGTTTTAATGTATCAAAACAGAGACAATAACCTATCTGCAGCTTTCCATGAAAAGCTGTTCAGTTTTCCTCAGCATATTACAAATAGACATAAAACCAGTCCTTTTATCAGCTTAGACCTTAAAAAACCAAATCAAGCTAAACCTATAGTTCTTACTGAGCAGAACAAAGAAAGTAAACTGACAAGGAGGGTCCCCAGTTTCTTTTAAGTTACTACATCCTGAAAATAGAGAGGGCTCACCTTTCAGTGCGTGAGTTTTCAGAAATGTTAGCAAATTCCACTGTGCCATTTTGTGGATTTGGATTGAGTTTTCCTTCTTCCTCCTCACCCACAAGAAATGGTTACAGGCATTTATTTCCATTTCAGTTTGCACTAGGGCGTGCTGAACAAATAACGAAGGCAACAAAATCACAGCAGCTTCGGTCACTGAGCAGCAGAGCTTTCAAGCACAAGCAAGACGATATGACATCTAAAGAAGGTTTTCAAGCAGCTCTGATTCTCTTATGGGAAACCTTGCAAGCCCGTAACAGAATCATCCTGAGATATTATACGTGTATATTCCCGCACATTCAAAAACCATCAGTGTATACACAATAAGCATACATATGTGTACACATACACCCATATAAATACACTGACGAACATTTGGATCAAGGGAAGACAACATCTACGCCATAATGTAAAGATTATAGCCTATTTCAAAGAAATGGCAAGCTTCTTAAAATCCAAGGGTCTCCCTGGGCTGTTTTGCTAGCCCTTTTCATTTCTTCAAATGACAGGCAGCAGTAAAAGATCTTTGAACAAACACAGCAACAGACTCCCATCACTGGGCACAATTTCATTGTGTGTAGATGCTCAAAAACTGAACCATGTGCTGGACCTTTACAGTCTGTGTTTCTGGGGGATACAGGTACTGATAAGAGCCACAGGGTGCCCTGCTGCATCCCTTCCTGCATTCTCTACCACTTCCCTCCCTCACCCACCTCCTTCCTTCTGTTCCTTTTTCTCCTGGGCTCTAAGGTGGTATAGTTCATTTGCAGAATCACTTTGTGCTACCTAGTATTAAACTTTTTTCCAATGTGCCTCTGAAAAGCAGCACCCCAAAAACAGGCTGGGAGTTGGAGGTAGGAGGGAAAGAGGAAGTGGTGAATGGCTGGTGGGGGGAGGAGTAGAACAGATGTACCATGGGAGAGTTGCCTCAGCCACACTTTACTTACCTCCAGCCCATGAGGCCCTAGGATCCCCAAACTCCAGTGGCCAAGGGCTAACCTATGCTGCTTCTGTACTCAGGGGGTCGACAAAGTTATCTTTTCTCTAATGATTCTCTCCTGGGCAAACCAATTGTGGCTCATTTCATGGGACTTAATGATATCTCAATTCTGCTTGTGGAGTTGGACCACAGACTCATTTAAAGCATTTCTTTCCAAGTTTAGAAGTCTGCATTTTCTTTTAAAAACTCATAGGAACAATTTTCACCTTCATTCTAAAATGAGTAACACTCCTAAAAGACATTTTAATGGTATTTTCTCACATAGTTTCATCCTACAAATTCAATGTCATTCCTCCAAAAAGAGTAGGACCAGAAAATAATACTATAAGGAGTCTGCTTTTGTAAATATCACCTATTCAATTGTTTAACGTATACATCAAACAAAATGTTGGTATTCTGGACCAATTTAAGAATTACCTCTGGAACTCCTAATTTTCGGCATGCTTCTAGAAAGTTTTCCACATTTCTTCTGCATTTGGCCATGCTAAGTTTGGGCTGTAAACATAGAAATAATGGTTATTAAGAAGGAAAAAGTCCTAATGTATGAAGAGCTAAATTTTATAGGCCAATTAAAATACTCTCATTAAAGCCTATGACTTAATTATACAAGCTACATGAAAGTAAAGATCATTGAGAGTTAGGTGAAATTATTTACTAAACCCAGAGTCACTCAGAACTGGTTTGAGGGTTACACATGACATGAAAACTGGGGAGAGTTCCAGGTAGGGTACTTTCAGTTGTAACTGCAAAGTTTTAAATGCCCTATTATTATGTTTTAATGCTGTATTTCAGGTTTAATGTTCTTCTTTTGAAAAAAAAAAAAAAAAAGATGACACTCTGCTAATTCTACTTTCTAAAATCCCAAACCAAACAACACACACACACACACACACACACACACACACACACACACAGACACACCTATTTTATATGAATATTTATATAAGGTACCAGTATCTTCATGTAAAGCAAGGAGTAGATCATGGAACAATTTAGTTTCAGGGTTTAATAAAAATATTCCTCCAGAAGGAAGTATTCTGATAGGGCAGAGTCTTCCATAAAGGCCCTTCAATGGGATTCTTAAAACTTGCTTTCTAGGTTCTGCTGTGTGTCTTTATTCCACAAGCATGCAGTTGCTAAATGTGATTACAACATGACAATAAGAAGAGTGTAGTCGACTACCGCCCAGCTGTTGAGTTTGGTGCTGTGCTACTTGATCCTGTAAGAGACAAGCTCTGTCTACGTACAAAGAATGACAGGCCTGGAAGGGACCCAACAGGTCACTGAGCCTAATCTGCCTCTGACCAAGAATGCCCTCTTACACATCTCTGGCAAGGAGTCATCTGGCTTTTTTCTTACTGGCTTCCAGTGAGGCAGAACCTTCTGCCTCCCAAGGCAGCCCATTCCATTTTGGCATACTTCCAATTGTTAGCTAGTTTCTCCTTTCTTCAAGCCTAAATAACTTCTTCCTGCAGCTTTGTTCCTAGGGCATTTCTGCCCTCTGAGGCCAAGTAGAACATACCTAATTTTTCTTCCATGTAACAGACCTCAAATATTAGGAAGATTGTTATAACCAAAATGAACTCGAATCCCCCACTGTAGCAATGTGACCATGAGCAAGTCCCTCAACACTCTGAAACTCAGTTTCCACACCTATAAAAGGGGTTCAAGTCAAATAAGACATCTAATATATTTTGTAAACCTGAAAGGACCATTTGATTTTTTTTTATTAAAAATGAGCTGGGTATGGTGGCATACACCTATAATGCCTGCTACCAGGGAGGCTGAGGCTGGTGGACTGCTTGAGATTGGGAGTTTTGAGCTGAATGCAGTAGGCCTAAAGCTAATCAGGTGTCCACACTAAGTCTGGCACCAGTATGGCGAGTCCCTGGGAATGGAGGGCCACCAGGCTAAGGAGAAGTGACCCTATCCAGGCCAGAAATGGAGCAGGTCACAGCTTTTATGATAATTAGTAGTGAGATCAGGCCTGTGAGTGGTTGCTGCACTTTTAGACTGAGCAGGACAGGGAAAGATCTAGTCTTTCTCTTTAAAATAAAAAAGGGGGAGGGGCAGGGAAGGAAAACATCAATGGAAAATGGGAAGAATAGATTACTTTTGAAAAAAAAAAGATCCTTATGAGGCAACCAGATGGTGCAGTGGATACAGCACTGAGTCTGGAATCAGGAAGACCTAAGCTCAAATCAAGCCTCAGACACTTACTATCTGTGTCACCCTGGGCAAGTCACTTAACCTTGTTTGCCTCAGTTTCCTCATCCGTAAAATGAGCTGGAAAAGAAAATGGCAAACCACTCCAGTACCTTTGTCAAGAAAACCCCAAAATGGGGTCACAAAGAGTCAGTCATGACTGAAATGACTGAACAACAACAAAAAATGCCACATTCATTTCAACTGAATTTATTGCTATGCATTGGCAGTGCTCTGAACCACACTAGCAAAGAAGAATGGTTAAAAAAAATATACTACATAATATTATTACTTTAAAAAAGTATTTCAAATGCATTGCCTTAATGAAGTAGGGCTGCTATTGATATCACTATGACTGGGAATGAACGAGGAATAATTTTTGAAAAACACAATCTGTTGTGACCAAGATATAATATGAACCTCATTTGTATTTTTAAATCATTATACTAGTAAGACAAATACTCTGTGAATAAAATTTTAAAAAAAATTTACAAGAGAAACAAATAAATGAAAATGTGGAATAGTTCAGGGTTATGTCCTAGGCTTTGTTTTACTCAATATTTTAAAAAATAACTGGAAAGAAGGCATAGATGACATCATCAAATTTGTGGATGACATGAGACTAGAAAAGAGTAAATATGTCCCTAGCTTGTAAGTTCCACATGGGCAAGAATCAATTCTTTTCTAAATTCTGTATCTTTACCAGTGACTAGTTCAAGAACTATAATTAGGAATTCTTAAACATAAGAAAAGGTTTGTTATTTGTTTGTTTGGGTTTTTTTTTTTTGGGTTTGTTTTGTTTTTGGTGGGAGGAAGGGAACCTGGTGGTAAGGCAAAGTATATAGTCTGATGGTAGATATAGTTGGGCTGGAAAAAGGTGAGATCTCAACTCCTCAGAGAAGATGGGTGAAGGCACTCTGGAGAAGGGGCACTGTGGTGACAGTATTCTGAGAATGGTGGCCTATGAATGGTCCAGAACCTACTCGCAGGAATCAATGGAGGATTGCAAGGTAAGGCCTGGAGATCTCTGTGTATTTCCATATCACTTACAGCTAAAACCTTCTATAGCTTCCCTAATTAAATGAGAACTCCTGGAAAGCAAGGACCATCTTGCTCTTCTATTTGTATCCCCAGTGACTGGTACAAAGTGGGTGCTTATAAATGCTTTTCCAATCCATTTTACTGTATTAATCATTAATGCTAATAACTACATGAAAGGAAGTGGGAAAAAAATCTTGGCCATCAAATTTCTGGTGCTAAAACTTTAGTTTTAAGGTTTCAATGTAGCTACAAAACTGTAGTATGACATTTCTACCTGGATATTCCATTACTATTGCAACTCAAAATATCCAAAACAGACCAGCCCTTATCATCTTTCCTCATAAATACAGCCACTCCTCCAAATCTCCTTATTTTTGTTGAGTTAACCCAGTTTGGAGACATTAAAGACATTTATATTCCTTCCTTCTTCTTCACCCCTCTTCATCCAGTCAGCTCCCAAGTTCTGTTACACCTATCACCACTAAAATCTTAGGTCTTTAGTGATTTCTTGTTATTTCTTGGATAAAACATTAACCTACTCTGACATTTAAGGCCTTCCACAATCTTGCCCTAACCTACCTTTTTAGTCTTTCTAGATTTCACACCATTTCCCTTTAGGAACTCTATTTTTCAGCTAAACTAGCCTAGTAGCTAGCTAATTCCTAAACTTGACATTATGTTTCTTGCCTTTATGCAGTTATACAATCGTCTTCTAAGCATAAAAACCACTTTCTCTGTATCTTCCTGCCTTTCAAAGTCCTTGTTTTCCTTTGAGGCTCAGGTTAGGTGTCACTGGGAAACCTTCCCTAATATCCCTAGTTGTTAGCATTCCTTCTGTCCTCAAATGAACTTGTATTTACCTCTCTGTGTACATGCTCTCATCTACCCTGTAGAATGTAAGTTCTCTGAGAACAGAGACTGTTGATCTTGGTCTTTGTATTCCTAGTGGCTTGGTGCAAGGACTTTATCACTTCATGCCTGAACTATTGTGAAAGTCTGCTAGTTGGCTTCCCTGCTTCAAGTCTCTGCCAACTATAGCCCATCTTCCACTCAGCTGCCAAAGTGATTTTCCTAAAATGCAGGTCTGACCACATTACCCCTTCTGTTCAATAAATTCTGGGACCTCCTGATGACCTCAAATATCAAACAAATCCTCTATTTGGCTTTTAAGTCCCTTCCTACCCTTCCAGCCTTCTTACATTTTATTCCCCTCTGTGAACTCCAGTTAAGTGACACTGGCTTCCATGCTTGTCTTCAAACAAGAAGCTCAAACAAATCATCTCAGCTCTGGGCATTTTCTGTCCCACATCTAGAATGTTCCCTCTCCTCATCTCTACCTCCTGGCTTTCCTGGCTTCCTTCAAGTCTCAGCTAAGTCTCTTTGGCAAGAAGTCTTTCCCAATCAATACTCCTTAACTGTGGAGCCTCCTTTCTAAGACTAACCCCAACTTATCCTGTATAAATCCTGTTTATGCATAGCGTTTGTGTGTTTTCTCTCTCATTAGACTGTGAGCTCTTTCAGAGTAGAGACACTTGCTTTTCTTTGTATACTCTGACTGTCCTGCATGTAGGAAGACCTTAAGAAATATTTATTTATTGACTACTGAACAGGGGCTAGAAAGTAATCAGAAATTTGGCCAGGGCAAGTTCTATTAAATAATACAAAAGTGAACTTAATCTGGTTAAAATTTTATTCTTACCACTGCTGGTGAGGGGACGTGAATACTTGCTACAGATCGAGGACGGATATGATTAACTAGGTGGCAGAGGACCACACCATCCATCAGAGCTGCTCCTAGGTCTTCATGTAAACTGACCTTTAGTCTCATCTCAATGCTCTGGTTGGAAAAAAAAGGGAAAGTTATCATTAAGTACTTTAAAAAATTAAATCATTAAGGAGTCTGAAGGGAAAATACATAGAGTCCAGGCATATAAGTGTTCATGGAAAATTTTTTCTGAGGGAAAGCATGATAATATCGGGAAAGGGTATAAAACATCCAAATCAATGAAAACTGCAAACAATAATCAAAATACTACACTTCCTGCTCAGGTTAATTTCAAAATAAAAACTTGTGTAGGATCAAAAAAATTCTTTGTAGCATATGCAAACTAAAAGAAGTGACAGAATAATCCATCTTCATTAATATTTCCTCCAAAATCTGGCAATATGAATGGAATGAGCCAATAAAGTGAAGGAGCTAAGTAGGTCCTCGAAGGTGGGGTTAGGTCCCTAGAAAGCTCAAGGGAACCAATGAAAGGGTTGTTAGATTGCATTTTGGCTCAGAAATCAGGTTTTTAAAACCTCAGACATAATTCTTGTTCATTTCAGTATGTAGGATTCTCATTATGCAAGAGGCAGAAATACTTAGATTTGCCTCTCAAATTTTGGAGCCAACAATCATTGACTGGATTTAATCAACCACCAGTTCATGGTCATGGTTAAGCTCATCTGTGCACCATGATGCAATAGTTTACCCTAACAGTCTTCCCTAATATACTCAGTGTCTGGACACTTCATCCCTTCACAGAGTCAGAGAGTCATAGGCCAAAAATAGTCTCTTAAATTTCTAATTTTATAAGGCAAAGGAAGAATTTATCTTTATTTAACAATCAACAGGCAGTAGGCTTAATATTAACTATGTTCTTGTTTGAAGGGCCCAACTCAGAATGCTATATGGTGCTCATTACCAGCATCTCACACTTCAATTTAGATTCCTACCTGACCTTTAATTCAAAGAACTTTAAAGGTTTGACAAAATGAATGTTCTTATATTCATCTGGTTTGAGACCACAGTGATTAGACAGTGAATCAAAGGTGGAAAGTGGCTCCTTCATCTGCCCTCATACTGAAACCCACACAAGCATGAGAATCTGGAGTTATTTTTAGAGTTCCTCACAAGAGGAGGCCCTGACTCTCTCTCTCAAAAAAAAAAAAAAAAGAAAAAGAAAAAAAACCCAAACATGTTAGTGTCTAAGCAAGCTCATGCCTAGAAACTCTTTTTCTGTTGTTCTCAGTGGAGTTAGAGTTAATCCAGTTACTGCCTTTTTGCGATGGAACTTTTCTATTCTTGAAGATAATTACTAAGCTGCTTCTCATTTGGCTTTTTAATATTCAGTGACAATAATCCCACTTCGTTTGGTCTCTTTTTAGAGATCCTAATCTGCATCTTTTGGACTAGAAGAAGAGCTGCTGTCCAAATTCCCCCAAGTATGGTCTGAAACTGAGCAATTCTCCAGTGAAGAAGCCTCAGTTTGCCCTTTTCCTCTCGATCCAGGCTTCTACTCACACTGGAATGCACGATGTCTGATTTCCACATCTCCCATTGTGGCCTATTCAAATGTCTTTCAAAATTAAAAGTTAAAAAAAAGTTCAGTATCTTTTTATCTTAGAATAAGTTACATAAGTGATACCAGATCTATTAAGCCTAGGATGGAAGCCACATAAAGGCTTCCTTGAAGCTTTGCCCAGCTTAAGTCTCATCTCATCTATGAAGCGACTACTCCCCACCCCCCACCCCAACCATGCCTTGGCAGCTTCTTATTGTCCTCTGAACTCCAAGTGCTCATTGTCTATACCACAATTAATCATATACTTCTTCATGACATTTCATTTGGCTGTTTTATAGTTTATCTCCCCACAACATGATTATAGTTAATCTTCCCTCAACATGTGTTTCATATAGCACCTACCTATATATACTCTAGTGACTTGGTAAATCTATCATTGATCAAGTGAATGATTATAAAAGTTTGGATAGTGTTCAGTATAAATAATTTTTCGCATTTTCATAATTTTTCTGATACTATCTATATCTTGAAAGCTCATGTTTTCTTCTATCTCCTCCTCCCTATAGACCGGAGGCTCCCTAGGAAGACTGTATGATTTCCCATTGTTTTATATACATGAGCAATTTATACTTTTTATGAGAATGATCTAGACTAAAGTAAGGGGAAAGGTTTGAGTCGCTGCTGGAACCCATCTTTGCCTCTTCTCCAACTGTTCAAAATTTTTTCCTTCTTATTTTCAAATGGTTTCCACTCAAAATTTTTGCTTTCATTTAACGACCCCAGGGCCTAAGTTCCACATTTGCAAAACGGGGAGAGTGAACACCATGGCTTCTCAGATTCTGTTTGGCTCTAAACCTACAATCTTAGAATCTGTGACTTGGAACATTTCACACCAACAGATTAAACAGATGACAACACACCACTGCTTGCTGAAATGCCCTACATCAGAATCTCAAAACAACTCCTCCCATACCTCTCGAAGTTGCTCCACGAGTTCTTTCTCTTCTCTCATTTGTTCCATCTTCCTCCTAATCGTAAACTGAGGATCTATGGATTCCAAATTCCTTTGTGGTCTCAAGAACACTAGAACAGAAAGAAAATAAATCTTTCACAAAGGGCTTTTTACAGGTTGCTTTCAATGGGTCTTCAATTGCCACAGAAGACAAAATTCTTTATTCACTATCAAAGCCACAATCTTTTGTACGACCTACCTCACAGGGCTATTGTGTGGATTGAATGAAATAATACAAATAAAGTACTTTTGAAACTGCAAAGTGTTATTTAAATGTCAGTGTTTATTTTAATTATTATTCTCACTCACAGGATCACCCCATGTAAACAATAATAGTTAAGAACAAAGAAATGGGGACGTAAAAGCAAATGACTCATCTAGCAGCACAGTGAATCTCAAAAATAAGCCAAAGGCTGGTTCCAACTTCATTAGGACGTCAGCAACATTTCTAAATGAATAAATACATTGACTTAAGTAAATAAGCTTAAGATGAAAAGTAGCCTCTTTATTTTTAATATCAACTGAAGTCAACTTTTTATAATCACCAATGATTATAATTTAACTGCTTTAAGAACGTTTAAGGTGTTTTGGGAGGTTAAATCAATCAATTACATTTAAATTGAATTTAGTTATATAAAAGTCTGTGGATGTTTTAAATATAAAGTAAAATATCAATTATTCTTTGCCTAAATAATCATAGCCCTCAAAAAGCCAGAATTATAGTAAACCAATAAATTGCAGGGCAAATCAAAACTATGTAGGGCCAAAGACAAATCAAAGAAATTCAGTTATTAGTCACTAAAACGTCCATGAAGTTAGAAAAGCCAAACGCCAGAGAGGCTATAATCTGCAAGAGCAGCAAGCTGATTTTAAGAGTAGCAGTGAAAGAAAGCAGAGTCTGAAGAAAAGCTGGGCTAGCACAAGAAAAGAAGATATTGATGGGCAGGAGGAAATTGACACATATTTTGAGAAAAAATAGAAAAATAGAAAAAATAGAAATGCAATCTAATTCTAAGCAAATTAGAAATATCCTCTTCCCTAGACTTGTTGGTGCCAGTTAACTAAAGTTTTACTGTAATTACATTTAAAATAGTCAGGAAACCCTTTTGATAGATGTTGTACTGTCAGTGTCAAAAAGTGCATTGAATTTAGCAAACTTCTAAATACTGACCCATCCAAATAATAGTGAGAAACAAAAGGTGTTGATTAGGAGAGATAGAAGTTTTAATGAACTGGTTGGCTATATTGCCTGGAGCAATTATCTAACCAAAGGAAGAATGCTCCTTAAGGAAACAAAATATATGTTAAATTACACAAATTCACTGAAAAAGGAAATTTACCCAGTTTAAACCAAAAGGCCGTTTAAAAAGTTAGGCATTACTCAACTTGGCCACACAGGGGCACTGCAGCAATACTGTTTAAATGTAAATTCCTCAGCTTTTTTTGTAGGGTAATATTAGTCACAGATTATGTTTTAAAATTTCCAAGAGATTTTTTATTGGGAATTTGTACACTACACAAGTAGCATCAAGGAATTTGAATGAACTCTGTTCTTTTGTATAACTCTAAAGGAACAATTAAAATGATTATTTAGTTGTTTCAGTCATGTCTAATTCTTTATGACTCCATTTGGGGTTTTCTTGGTAAAGATACTAGAGTGGTTTGCCATTTCCTTTTCTAACTCATTTTAGAAATGAGGAAACTGAGGTAAACAGGGTTAAGTGGCATGTCCAGGGTTACAGACAAACACACACACACACACACACACACACACACACACACACACACGCAATTAAAGACTCAGGCCTTATTAGGAGAATATGTGAGATAGGAAATTAATGGCAGGGCAGTTGAGCTAATAATAATATTATTAATTATAATCACAACAACAATAATAGCCAGTATCTGTATTGTGCATACTGTGTGCCAGGTGCTTTACAAATTCTATTTTATTTGATCCTTAGAACAGCCCAGGGGCTATTATTATCTTCATTTTACAGTAGAGGAAGCTGAGGCAAACAGGATAAGTGGTTTGCCCAAAGTCACAGCAAGTAAGACACTGAGGCTAAATTTGAACTCAGGCCTTCCCGACTGTATGCCCACTGCTCTATCGGCTGTGCCACTTAGCTGCCTAAGCATCTAGTTTTGATTTGTAGGCATTATTTTTTCTTTTCAACATCTTTCCTTCATAGTGATACCATGTGCTTGTTTGAAAATTAAATCCTTGGATGCATATGACTATTTATTTGTTATATGGAGATGATGCCATCAAAAGATGCTCTGTGGTTTTTCAAAAAAATAATAAAGTCTAGTATTTATGTAGCATTTTAAGGTTTGCAAAATACTTTACAAGTTATCTCAAGATCCTTAGAACAACTTTATGAGTTCGATGCTATCCTCATTTTATAGATAAGGTAACTGAAGCTTAGAGAGATTAAGTGCATTTCCCAGGGTGAGATAGCTTGCATTTTGAGGCAGGCTTCTAACCCAGGCGCACTTGACTCTTTCATTTTATCATGACATCAGAATTATGTTGGTAACCTGAGGACAGCTCTGATCATACTGCTTAGTATTTTTCTTTCAAATTATATTTAACAGTAAATAAAGAGCCCAAGTTTTCTTGAAAGCTTCAGAAAATGAGACTATGTAAGCTCTATTCATTGCACATTTTAAGAACTTCATCAGGTCTTGGCATTATCTTTGATTCTTCCTTCTCACAGCCTGCCCAGCCAATCAGTTGCTGAATCTCATCTCACATTTCACGCCTTCTCATTCACCAGGGCTACCACCTTAATTCAGACCCTTATTACCTCTCCCCTGAACTACTGAAATAGCTTCCTAATTGTTCTCCCTGCCTGGGATCTCTCCTCTCTCTGATCCATCCTCTACAAAGCTGCCAACCTGATTCCCTAAAGTACTCAGTAAACTCCAGTGGATCCCCAGTGTCTCTAGGATAAAATATAAATGCCTCTGTTTAGCATATACTTCCTGTGGATCAATGACTAATACTTTGGGAGAGTAAGTTTTAGAAATACTGGAGTTTAAAACAATAATGAAAAAGCAGGACTATCAAGGAAGTTATATTCTTAGTCAAATTAATAGTGGAAGATGTTCCAGAGTCACAATCTGAGCAGATCCACAAAATTCCTAATTTTGGATACTTGCTCTCATTCAGGTTCAGGCACTCATCACCTCTTGCTTGGACTATAACAAATGCCTCTTAACTGGTCTCTTTGCTTTTAGTCTTTCCTCTCTACAATTCACTTTTTTTTTTTTTGGTGAGGCAATTGGGGTTAAGTGACTTGCCCAGGGTCACACAGCTAATGTATGTTACGTGTCTGAGACCGGATTTGAACTTAGGTCCTCCTGACTCCAGGGTCGGTGCTCTATCCACTGTGCCACTTAGCTGCCCCTCTCCAATTCATTCTTGACTCAGTTGCTAAGTTCATCTTCCTAATTCACAAGTTTGACCAGGTCATCATTCTTCTCAAACACTTTCAGTGGCTATAGGATGAAGTGCAAACTCCTTATTCTAGAATTAATTCCTTCTACAATCTGGCCCCAATCAATCCTTCCAATCTTATTTCCCACCATTCCTCTTCTCAGAACTTTCCCTTAGAGTCAATTTGGACTCTCTTCTGAGTTCTCTGATTTCATCTCTTGCCTCCATACATTAACTTACGATGACTCCCATGCCTGAAATCCACAGCTCTCCAAAATTTCACCTACTGAAATCTTGTCTTCAAAAGGCCCAGCTGAGGAGACTCCTTCATGAAACTTTCTATGAAATTGCTTTCTTCTACTGCAAATTTTCTTATAGCAGCATCTTAATTTTTCTTTTGCTCCAACCACATTCTACCCTGAAGCACCCTTAATGCATATTGCTTGTTTCATCTCCCATTAGGCAATCATCTCCTGAAAGGCAGGGGCCATATTTTTTTCTTTTTCTTTTCTTTTTCTTTTTTTTTTTTTAAGGCAATTGGGGTTAAGTGACTTGCCCAGAGTCACACAGCTAGTAAGTGTTATGTGTCTGAGACCAGATTTGAACTCAGGTCCTCCTGACTCCAGGGCTGGTGCTCTATCCACTGCTCCACCTAGTTGCCCCATATTTTTTCATTTTTATATCTCCAATGACTAGCATCAAATTTTTTTCTTTCTTTCTTTCTTTCTGCGAGGCAATGGGATTAAGTGACTTGCCCAGGGTCACACAGCTAGTGAGTGTTATGTGTCTGAGGCCGGATTTGAACTCAGGTCCTCCTGAATCCAGAGCCAGTCTCTATCCACTGTGCCACCTAGCTGCCCCTAGCATCACATCTTTCACAGAGCATTTACTGTATTGAAGTTGTTGATTTGAGTTAAAGATTTTAGAAAGAGAAGCATGAATGCAAAGGGGAATTTACAGTTAAACCAATAAAGGACAAGAGATTACAGAACTGACCACACTAGTAAGAATGACAAAGGTGTGAAGGGTAAAAATGAAAGACAAGTTTGTTTTCATGCTAAGCTGAGTTAATAATGAGATATCCATTTAGACCTGTTTGAGTGACAGCTATTGGTAAGACAGTGAATAAAGGAGGAAGATATCATCAGAGATTCATCTAGTAAATTGCATGTTGCTTTGTTGTCATTTTGAAGTAACAACAGATGCACTGAGAACAACTGAACTTTCCCAACACTCATATCTCGTAAGGGAATAAATTGGTTAGCACTTTGCTAACCCTGTAGCAGACCCGTGGTAGAAACCAACACTGGTCCTTGCGCTTGTGAATACATGAGGTAGCTACTTACCTAAAAGATCACAAAGGAAAATGTATTCACAAATCACAGGGCAAAATATAGCCCATGAGATGAAGATGGATATCAAGATTCATTTGGACATCAGTCTAGATATTTGGCAAGGATGTCTTAGAACACAAAGGAATCCCTTCTGTGAGGCATTTTATAAATGAATGGCAAATATTGGTAAAATGTCACCTAACAAAACTTCACACTTTTGATGTTGCTGTATGAATAATTAAAAAAATAATCCTATGTTATTACCACTGGGCACACTGGGATATCCATATATGCC